ACCACTTTGCCAACTGGCTCCACTTGCTCAGCCTCAACAAGGCTGGGCTAGCTTTCTAGTCCTATGGCCAGAATTGTTTTGCACTTTGGGTAAGGTGTCAATCATCCTTCATTCATGCCTTTGCTGTGGTAATGAATGAGAATTTCCAAAGGCAGTGGGAAGAAGCAGTAACTTCTGGAAGACAGATCCCAGTCCACAGACTGTAGGGTTCAGACTTGAGAAATAATCAGTCATCAATTCTTCCATTCATTTGTTTTTCATGTACCCATCATTGATAAGTGCATAATCAATGGATGGGTACATCCATCCACCCACCTATTCATCCATTCCACCCATTCACCCATGTAATTATCTGGACTGACTGCCTTTTCTTTTTCCTCCCTTCTTTCTCTTCCTCTCTTCCTTCATCTCCTTCCCACCTTCCAAGAAATATATGTTTAGAATCCGTTATGTATGAGGTTTCTCAGATTTGGCAGACTTCTTCAAAAGATGAGAAGCTTCCATTTGATAAAGGAATACTGCATCATCTAAGATGCCTTAATAATAGAAATTAGAGCCGAAACCGGTTTGGCTCAGTGGATAGAGCGTCGGCCTGCAGACTGAAAGGTCCCAGGTTCGATTCCGGTCAAGGGCATGTACCTGGGTTGCGGGCACATCCCCAGTGGGAGATGTGCAGGAGGCAGCTGATCGGTGTTTCTCTCTCATCGATGTTTCTAACTCTCTATCTCTCTCCCTTCCTCTCTGTAAAAAAATCAATAAAAAAAATAATAGAAATTAGAATATTTCATCACAATGGTTTCCTTACTGGTCTCTCTGCTTCCAGAATTTTCACACCTTAATCTAGGTTTCTCACCATGATCAGAGTTTCTCACCATGATCAGAGTAATCATTTTACAATGTTCCCATCCTCTCTCTCTCTCCTGCCTGAAGGCCTTCATTGGCTCCATATCACCCTAAGTCAGAGTCCAAGCTTCTTAACATAATCCATAAGGATCTTCATGATCTGACCCTACGTGTCTCTCTAGCCCTGTGGCCTTTCTGCTCCTGTCATATACTTTACACGCCAACACCACCAAACTGCTTACAGTTGACCTGACATTCCATGCTGCCTTATGCCCCTATACTTTTAAATATGCCAATCCCTCTACCTGGGACTTTTTAAAAAAAATATATATTTTATTGATTTTTTACAGAGAGGAAGGGAGAGGGATAGAGAGTTAGAAACATCGATGAGAGAGAAACATCGATCAGCTGCCTCCTGCACATCTCCTACTGGGGATGTGCCCGCAATCAAGGTACATGCCCTTGACCGGAATCGAACCTGGGACCTTTCAGTCCTCAGGCTGACTCTCTATCCACTGAGCCAAACCGGTTAGGGCTACCTGGGACTTTGTACCATTACTCCATTCTCTGTACTTCCTTTCAATCGTGCATATGCTTCTATTGTTATGATCATCACCCTGTATTGTAAATTATTTGCTTGGGTCTATTTTTCCTTCCAGACTGCGAAGTGCTTGAATGCAAATACTCTGAGTTATTCATCTTTGTGGCCCAGTCCTAGTACAGTGCCTGGTACTTAGAAGGCAGTCAATATGTGTTTGTGGGACGAATGGACAGGTGGGTAAATGATGGATGAGGGGATTAAAGAAGTAGGATAGCCTTGGGACAAGATGGTTAAGGTATCCAAGTAACAGCCCCCCCCCCCCCCCCGCAAAAAAAGGAAGGAGAGGAATAACCCCTTTCCTTTGAGGAAAGCCCGGAACTGTGGCATAGGCCAGGCAAGGTGTCTAAGTCAGGAATGGGGAACTTGGGGATTACCTTTTGTGGGACTCACTTCCCCTTTCTTCTAGATAAAAGTTCCTTGGGGAGAG